ACGAACGTCATCACACTCATCACAGGGATCAGTGAATTAAAAAGCTCCGCCCGGCTTTGCGTCCTCGCCAAAGTTTAAGGTCCGTGGAGCAGGGCAAAGACAAAATCGTTTTCCTAGACCCCGCACTTGTTTTTTTTGTTTGTTTAGGAATTGGAATCTACCCGAAAGTTTTTACCAATTTTATTCGCTAGAGGTCGCGTTTGGTGGGAGTTCCTCCATTGAGGTTACCCAAAACACAGTTCAAAAAGTATTAAAGTTCAATTCACTGGTCAAGTGAAGCAAAAGTGAAGTTCGGAGGTCAACGCTTCTTTTTGTCCAACGATGACTGATGAGTATTTCCTCCCCCCTCCCCTTTTCGGCTTCCTGTGGTAATATATTATTCATAGTTCGTTTCATTAAAATGTCCTTAGATTTTCTTGAAAATTCCTGATTTGTCGAAGGAAATTAGGCAACGCTTGGTAGCTCTTACGGCGTTCTTACTACTAACAGTATATCCTTTCAACACTGTAATTCAAGAAAACTTGGGTTACTTGTCATGCGAAAGGGGGAAAAACGAAAAACTGGACTATTCCAATGATAGTGTGTCTTTTTCTTATACTAACTTGCGGCATGCGTTGCTGCCTTTATCGTCCACAACAGTCCACGATACTGTCGTGCTAAGGAAGAACGCCGTATGAGCATTCGAGAGTTGCCAAATTCCCTTCGATATAATGTTATTTTTTAGGTAAGATATGAATTGTTTTCCTTTAAATTTTTAGAATTTTTAGGTAAAATTGCGAACTAAATTATCTGAAAAAATGGGAGGAAAATATTCATAAATTTACCAGGGTATTCGCGTTGTATCAAAAGAAATTTGGCAACGCCTGAAGGTTCATACGGCGTTTTTCTTCAGCACGGTAGTACAGATACCTGAAATGCTCGAATTTCAATAGACCTTTGCAATAAACATTACAGTGTAGCGGGCTAAGAAGATCACGATACTTTGATTTTCGTTGGGCTTTCGTTACGTTTTCCTGCTTTTTTAAAAGGCTTCACCCGGCCGAGGGACCGCACGTGCTCCTCACTCGACCGTTCGTTCATCCGATAAACCAACAACTCGGCAGAAGAACAGCGTAAGTCCCGCGCGAGTCCCGATGAACTTACGTCCCTCTACAAGAATTGTGTTGTTCGAGGATGTTGCCTCGGCGAGAGGTCATTGTCGGCATGCGTCCAAGTTAGGGTCAAGGTCGTCTTCAACTTTCGTAAGGGTTGTGGATAAGCGCCAGTCAAGGCTGACCCCCTGACCCGCTGATCCACACTCAGAAGAGCCGCCGAAATAGGCGTTTTGCAATTTTATGCGCTGGTCAGTGGTTTATTTGAAAGTTAGTAATGATTCTGAACAGTGTTTGAAACACACGCCGCGCCGGCCAAACAGCAATTTGCCGGTGAGAAATCGCCTTTGGCCGCTAAGAAATGAAACTAGCGACCAAGCTTTGACCGCTAGCAAGGTATCTACAAGTCCGGAATTTCCAGAAAGTCCGGAAATAGTACCGATTTTTTAAGGGGGGTCCGGAAGTACTGATGAAGTGCAGAAATTCCGCAAAAGGTCCGGAACTTTTTTCATGTTTTGGTCATTTTTGTCTCAATTTGAGCGAGAAATTCAAATTTTTGAAATTTTTCGAATTTCGTCAAGTGGAGGTACTGAAAGAGAACTGAATTTTTTATTGAGGAGGTACTGAATTTTTTGGGAATGTACTGAAAAAGTACTGCAAAAGGACTGATTTTTGTTTTGTGAGTAGACACCTTGCGCTAGTTTCATTTAGCACAGTAAGAAAATTGTTGATAAACTCCGTTTTGGGGATTTTTCGGCGCTTTCTGCAAGGTGTCTCGTCGCACAGTGGATCGAGTCAATTAGAGAATTAAAACTGCTAATTTTGATGTTTATTTCGTCACATTTTAAATTTTAAGGGGTGCTCTGAGAAGAAAATTTCACGAGGAAACCAATGAAAGAACATTTAGAACCTCAAAGTTTTGTATAAACGGATTTTATAACCGTTTAAAGTTTCAAAATTTCGTCCGACCTCTTCTATTGACTCGATCCACTGTGCGTCGTGTCGTGTTATCAATTCGATTTTCATTTTCTTTTCGGCCCCTAAGAAATCTGAGATGGCCCTAAAGAAAAAAGTTGCAGGCCAGATGGCTGCTAAGACTTCATGCCGAGTTTCAAACCCTGATTCTGAAGTTCTTTAACCAATCATTATTGTTTTCAAGCGGGAAGAAGTCTAATCCCGTGTGAGCCTTGAAGAAATAGTACGTGACAAGTAAAAGGGTTCATCCAGAATGGGACTTGTTTACTTTTGAAAATTACTAATTCAGTTAAAAGAGTTTCCGCGAGAATCGAAGTTTTTATACTAAAATTAGTGTTCATAAGCTCGGCTCTAGTGGAATTTCGGATTTATAGCTGTTGTTTCTTCTTTTTTACGGTTTTGGGGTCGCTGAATCTGGAACTAAAGCTGTCGGGCGAAAATGCGCCGCCATTTTGAAAAAATTGCGTAAACATGCTGGTTTTCGGGGTTTTTTTTTCTTTCCAAGCAGCGGCGAAAGCTCACTCAAGTGTCAGGAAACTTCAGATCCAACTTCAGCAACCCAAAGAACGGAGTGAGTGTTAGCAAAATAAACAGCGCTGCGCCCAAAATCCCAGCCAGCTACACCATTAGTCCATATACTTACTAGTCCATTCTTGGACTGCTGGTCAAACAGTTAAACCGGAATAAACGTGTGGATTTTTTATCCCCAACTTTTGCCACCTCTCCTCAAAACGTTTTTCCTCGCGAACTCAATAAAAACACGTGCGTTTTAGAAGTATAATTCTGTTGAAATTTTTTGCAACTCTCTCTTCTCTTATTCAGTAAATTACCTCCTCTCTCCCCCCCCCNATATCGTCGATGGAATCATCGCCGCAACTTACCGGTCGAACAAGCCGCCACACAATGGAACAAGTCAATGGGAGCAGTCGGACAAAATTTGGAAACTTTAAAAGCTCGTAACTCCATTCTTACAAAACGCGGAGGTCTTAAAAGTGGTTCCATTGGTTATCCCGTAAAAATTGCTGTCGAAAGCGCCCCTCAAACTTTAAAATTTCACGAAATTAAGAACGAAATTTGCTGTTTTAGTAAAAAAAAAGCATGTCTGACCTCTCTCATTGACTCGATCCACTGTGCGCTAGATGAATATTAATGAACGACATTCTTATCGTAACAGCAAATATTCAGCTCTATGAATCGTCCAAGAAAATTCGGAAACGGAACCAGCGGGAAAAATTAGAATTTTATCAAGTGAATTTCCGGTGAAAGTTTTTTTTTTTTACCGGTGTGAATGCGGTGTGTTTTTTTTTCATGTGAACCTGCCTGTTTGCTATCACTATCACCCTCTTGGGCGCGACGCTTTTTACATTATCAGTTTAATGTTTTTTCCTCTAGTTTCATTTCTTCTATTTTTTATCAGTCTCTGTATATAAGTATTTCCGCGCTTCGTTGAGTCTATTTTCGTTGGTTCTTGTCACCCTCTCTCGCCGATAAGAACCTTTTTTCGCGATTCGCGAAAGTTTGCAGAGTTGCGCTCGCTCCATCCGAAAACGAAACATTACTGCCACTTATAAGGTTGCCACCGTCAGGAAATACCGGGAAATGTCAGGGAATTTTACAAAGTCAGAGAAAACCGGTAAATGTCAGGGAAAATGACGGAAATGATCGGGAAAAATTATCAATGATTTTTGGTATGGGTTTGACGATCCGAACGACAGATTTTTTATTAATCGGGACTTTTCCCGGAATCTTCGAAATTTTCCGCCTTTTTCGGAATTTTGAGGTTTTCCGTCACTCTGACCAATTTTTTTTTTAAATTTGATGAATATTCGTATCAAATTTGCCGATTTTTGGAACAAAATCGGGGCGTATTTCGAAATTTTTTCTCGGAGCTTTTGAAAGAATCGGAATTTTTCTTGGAACGTACAGAAATCGGATTTATTTCCGGAAACCCAGCAATCTTTGGTAAAATAAAATGGCAGCACTGCCTAGGACGCCTCTCCAAATGGAGATGTTGCATGTGTGAGGGCTTTGCGATTTGACCATCGTTTCTTACATACAAGTTCACGAGAAACACGATGGTGCCACTAGTTTTCTCTGAAATCATCTCCCAAGCTCAATAAAAGCTTTCAAAGTGAGGCCAAAATGGAGGGGATATCCCACGCTACCCTAAGAGTCCACCTCTACATTAAAACAAACTCTCCATGCAAAGATAGGGAGCAAATACATTGACAGGGCTGCCACTTTATTTGGGGACTCCACAACTGAAAACACGGCAACCCTGCTAATATATTTGCTCCCTATCTTTGCATGGAGAGTTAGTCTTCATGTAGACGTGGACTCTCAGGGTAAGGTGGGATATCCCCTCCATTTTGGCCTCAACTTGAGAGCTTTTTTTGAGCTTGGAGATGATTTCAGAGAAAACCAGTGGCACCATTGTGTTCCTCGCGAACTTTTATACAAGAATCAACAGTTAAATTGCAAATTCCTCGCACATGTAACATCTCCATTGGGCCAAAATGCACCGATATCACGGCATCCCTGGTATAATGTATTTGCTTCCTATCTTTGCATGGAGAGTTTGTCTTGATGGGTGGACTCTCAGGGTAGAGTGGGATATCCCCTCCATTTTGGCCTCACTTTGAGAGATTTTTTTGAGCTTGGGAGATGATTTCAGAGAAAACCAGTGGTACCAACGTGTTTCTCGCGAGCTTTTACATAAGAAACAACAGTCAAATCGCAAATCCCTCACACATGCAATATCTCCATTGTCTTTTTTTCTCTTTTTCCTCAGAGTACTGATTGGGAACTTTTGACTTTGTGTTGGCAGGTTTAGCGATGGGCGTGGGCGTGTTATGACGTTGAGGGAAGGATCGCTGGGCGCGATAGCGAGAACGGATCCCTCGCCCGAAGCCGGACCCGGAGTCAGCCCCGACGATGGACGGCGGCAAGAAGAAGCTGGAGCGGCCGCCTCACCCGAGGGCCACCGCCAACCCCCTCTCCGCCCTCACTTTTACGTAAGTTCCACAACTTCCTTTTCATCTTTTTCCACCCTGGGTCGATTGAATCAGTGAGTTTGAAACATAGAGTACATAGAGTCGTAATGTAAATGGGAGAGCTGGCGCCATGTTCTGCTCGACGAGTTTCGAGCCCGGTGTGCGCCGAGTTCGGGTCACTTTTTCGATACAAGTTCGATCCAAGATGGCGGTGCGGAATACGTGGTGATCCCTATCTTCTTTGCTTACATCGGATGGCCGGGTACCCGTGTATCGCAAACAATCGATTATGTATCGAAAAAGTGACCCGGTGTCACACAGGAGTCTCGGAATTCGGGACCTGGAAAATGCTTAAAAGTGGCGCCAGCTCACCCACTTACATTACGACTCTATGTACTCTATGGTTTGAAAACACACCAACTCGGAAAAAAAAATTGTTCAGGAAACACCTAAAACTGCGCAGCGGGCGAAGAAGTCAGTTTAAGAAAAACCTTTTTGGTGCTAAAGGACGAGTACTTAGAGACTTCGTAAAGCACCAAGTTGAAATCAAAACACCATGTTTGATGACTGAGAATTAAGCGTTTAAAAATTTCCGAGTTGGTGTGTTTTCGTTCTCACCGACTTTCAGGTACTGATTTTTCATAGTCATGCCCTTTAAAATGTATATTTTTCGACCCGAATAACGCTTGAATATTTACATAACTTGTTGGTACAAGGTATACTGAACCAAAAAAAGGAAACCGCAAAATCGGATGGTCACCCGTTTCCCTTGAAATGGCCAAAAATTGGTATTTCCAATGAAATACTTCGATTTCTCCCTTTTCCCGTCGCTGTTTCGAGCACTTCCGATTGCAATTTCGAAATTTCCTTTTGCGTGCAGATGTTTCTATCCATAAGTGTTACTAAACCGTAAAAAAGTGAAAATCGAAAAAAACCCGAGTTGGTGTGTTTTCGAACTCACTGATTCAATTAACGGCTCACGGATGTGGATGCAGATAGTAGTTAGGCAGGGTGTCTACAAGTCCGGAAAGTCCGGAAATTCTACTGATTTTTTAAGGGCGGTCCGGAAGTATTGAAAAAGTGCGGAATTCCGCAAGAAGTTTCGGAATTTTTGTCATTTTTGTCGCAATTCGAGCGAAAAATTCAAATTTTTGAAATTCTTCGAATTTCGTCAATTAGAGGCACTGAAATAGTAATGAATCTCTTGGGAATGTACCGAAAAAGTACTGTGAAAGTACTAATTTTTGACCAGCATGTTTTAGTAGACACCCTGATAGTAGTAGTCTACTGCAGGGCCGGATTTAGGGGGTGGCCACATGGGCCGCGACCCATGGCGGCAAATTTTACAATTTTTTTAAATGTAGGTATAAAAAAATTCGGATTAAGAAAAAAAATTACGAAGGAGAAAAGGCGACAAAATCTCTCATTTCCTGAGAGTATAGTAATTTCTAATTTTGTCGTCTTTCAGTGATATAAGAGACAGCCCCTTTAATCAGTCAGTTCAATTAGAATCGAACACGCAATTTTGGCCCGGAACGGCGCTGCGCAGAGAGCAATGATGACGAGGACTTGAGATGAAAAGGAGAAGCCCTCGGCGCTTTAGTCGGCATGTAACGCATATTAGCACTTACAAGACGGCATGGATACTTCACGCATTGCGTCAAATACAGTGCGGTCAGCAACGGTCGACGTGAAACGCATAGCGCCTACAAGACTGTAGGAATACTTCTCGCATTGCGCCAAACACAGTACGGCGCACATTGGTTCCAGGGCCCGATCTAGGTGGCATTAATTAGAATATCACTGATGATGACATGTTATATATGTTTCTAGGGGTTCTTTGGGTCGCTAATTACGAATTTGAAGTCAATTTGACTGTATCATTTAGCATAAGGTGGTATATTTGCATTTAGCTTGAAAATTCATACTTAATACTACATTAATAATATTTTAACATGGCTGAATTCCTGGACTAATATATTTTTCAACCTTTTTTGATTTATCATCGAACAAACTCAATCAAAACTATCGATGAATTTACGAGGATTTGTCCTCTAATTACTAATTTTTTTATTGGGGGGGGGGGGGGGGCAAT